TCCTCTTGCCTCAGCCTCTCAAACAGATGGGATTACAGGTGTGTGCCACCATGGTCTGCTCATTTGTATTTCTAAATATTCATTACCACTTATTCCAACTTCTCTGGAAATTGATGAAGGTTAAGAATGTTGTACATTTGAACTTAGGGACTATAATGGATTACATTAAAAATATTTATATGTCAGTGATAAACTGTTATTAAAATGTCAATATTCAATTTCTATTGTTTAACTGTTAATTTTAGGAATATTTAATAAAATGTTTACCACTTATAAAATTTAAAAAAAAAAAAAGAATTCTTCAACTTTTCATCAAAAAAAAATTTTTTTTTCACTGTTTAATTGTGACCTTTAAGTACATGGACATTTATACAGTTTCCTTTTTTTTTTTTTCCTTCTCATGTCTAGCATTTTTAAAAAAATATTTTTTTAGTTGTAGATGGACACAATACCTTCATTTTGTTTATTTAGTTTGTTTATGTGTTGCTGGGGATTGAACCCAGTGCCTCACACATGCTCGGCAAGAGCCTACAGCTGAGCCACAACCCCAGCCCCTCATGTCTAGCATTTTTGAAGCCAATTATTTTACATGGATTAGTTTTTTTGTGAACTAGAATATTTGATTAGTATATTTTAGTTTTGTTTTATATTCTTTTAATTTTTTATTTAAATTTTTTCTTTATGTATATTTTTTCTCCTACCTGGTTCCCTTGATTCTCTCTTCTCTTCTGCTAACAGCCAATCCCTATTATTCTCCCCATCACCCTTCTTTTAACCTTTTACTTCTGTCTTCTCTCCTCCTCCCTCATAATCATCACACCCTATATCACTTCTGTTCTCTCCCTGTCCACCATTTGAAAACGTAAACCCTTTTGCAAACTTGCTGTTATTATAGGCTATACCTGATCATATAATTTCTGTTCATTATTACAATTAACATTGTAGACATCATAGTAGGAACTATTTGGTTTAATGCTGTAAATTATTTGCATTGGTTGTTGTTATTACTTGTCTCCCCCTAAACTGTGAGGTACTGGAAACCTTCACAGACACCATAAGTCCACAGAATAGAAGAAACTCTACTGCCTCAGAAACTCTACTGTTAGTTGGGTAGACACACAAACAACATGAAAAAGCAAGAGAACAAATCACCCCAAGCAAACCAAGATACTCTGATAACAGAATCCATCAATACCACGGTGGTAGAAATGTCAGAGAAGGAGTTTAGAATGTACATCATTAAATTGATCTGTGAAGGAAAGGATGATGTAAGAGAGCAAATACAGGTAGCAAAATAAAAAGATGGGGAGATAAAGAGATCTCAATAAAGAGAGATTTTGAAAAAAAAAAAACAGAAATTCTTGAAATGAAGGAAACAATAAACCAAATTAAAAATTCAGTAGAAAGCATCACCAATATACAAGTCCACTTGGAAGAAGTGGCAAAGAAGACAAAATATATAATCTTGAAAATAGAGTTGACCATGGAGAGAAGATGTTAAGAAACCATGAAAAGAACTTCCAAAAATTATGGGATAACTGAAAAGACCAAATTTAAGATTTATCAGGCTAGATGAAGGCATGGAGATACAAACTAAAGGAACGCACAATCTTTTCAATTTAATAATACCAGAAAATTTTCCAAAGCTAGAGAATGAAACGGAAAATTAAATACAAGAGGTTTATAGGACCTCAAATATGCAAAATTACAACAAACCCACATCAAGGCATATTATAATAAAAATGCCTAACATTCAGATTTTCAAGGCTGCAAGAGAAAAAAAAATCAGATGTATAGAGGGAAATCAATTTGGGTGTCAGCTGATTTCTCAGCCCAGAACCTCAAAACTAGGAGGTCCTGGAATAATATATACCAAGCTCTGAAAGAAAATGGATGCCAACCAACAATCCTATATCCAGCAAAATTAAGCTTCAGATTTGAATATGAAATAAAAACCTTCCATGATAAACAAAAATCAAAGGAATTCGCAACCAGAAAGCCTGCACTTTAAAATATTCTCAACAAAATATTCCATGAAGATGAAATTAAAAAAAAAAAGTAAAAACCAGCAAAGGAAGGAACTACACTAAAAAAATAGTCAATCAAAGAAGAAACTAATTCAAATTAAAAACTAGAAATAAACAAAAATGACTGGGAAGATAAATCATATCTCAATAATAACCTTGAAGATGCTCAAGCTAACTAATAATTAGAGAATTGCAAATTATAGTGAAATAACAATCACCCAATAGCCAATCAGATAAAAAGAAAAATTAGAGAGCAATCATACCCATTGCCAACAACATGAGGAGGAAATAACATAAATTGTTTACAGCTGCTCTAAAAGCACTTTGATGAATTTTTTACATTAAAAATACACAGACACTTCAACCAACAAATCATGCCCCTGGGAATCAATCCCATAAAAATAAATTCAATAGGGCTGGGGTTGTGGCTCAGTGGTGGAGCATGTGTGGGGTATTGGGTTTGATTCTCAGCACTGCATATAAATAAATGAATAAAATACAGGTCCATCAACAACTAAAAAAGTTTTTTTAAAATTCAATAATAAAACGTTGATTGTAGTATTAGTCTTATTGTAAAAAACAAGAAACAAACACAAAAAGGGTTCCTAGCAATAGGTAATAAATAATGGTTTACCTAACTATGTAAGTTAAGCAGCCATTAAAAAGAATGAATTCGAGTTATACAGTTTGGCTCAGAAGGATTTTCTGGATATATCTTTGAGTGATAAAAGAGAGAGGTAACTTAGTAAGACCCTGTCTCAAAAAATACAAAGGGTTGAGGATGTAGCTCAGTGGTAGAGCACCCCTGGGTTCAATTCCAAGTAAGGAGGGGGAAAAAAAGTGAGGTCGAGAGAAGGGCATATACTATGATCCTATTATAAACATATGTGTGCCTACATGTGTGTGGGGGTGGGGGTGGGGGGACAGAGAGAGACCTAGAGAGAGTATGTGACCATGAAGACAAACACAGAAGGATACCAGCTTGCCAACACACATTTCTTACATGGTGTGTGTGGGGGGGGGGGGGGGGTAAAGAATGCAGAAGTTGAAAAGGGAAAAGGGGAACATGTGATATGATTTCATTCATGTTATGCCAATCACTCAAATGTCTGCTCTAATGTGGATTAGGAATACAACATGATTGGAATGGGCTTCCATCCTGCCAGGCACGGTGGCACATGCGTGTAATCCCAGCAACTCAGAAGGCTGAGGCAGAAGGATTCAAGGCCGGGACTGGGGTTGTGGCTCAGTGGTAGAGAGCTCGCCTAGCTCGTGTGAGGCCCTGGGTTCGATCCTCAGCACCACATAAAAATAAAATAAAGATATTGTGTCCAACTACAACTAAAAAATAACAAATATTTAAAAAAAAAAAAAAAAAAAAGAAGAAGGATTCAAGGCCAGCCTCAGGACCTTAGCAAGGCCGAAGGATCTTGTTAGACCATCTCAAAATAAAAAATTTAAAAGGGCTGGGGATGTGGCTCAGTAGTTAAGCAAACGTGGGTTCAATCCCTAGTACCACACACAAAAAAAATTTAAAAATAAAAAATAAAACATCCTCCACATGGCCTCCATTCTTAAACTACATCATGACCATTTGACATTTTCTCATCCATTGAACTTATCCATTCTGTACAATGTAAATCTCACAATCTTTTGTGCATTTTCTGGTAATTCTCTTGAAAAATACTATTGTTCATTAACTCTTTTTTAAAAAACATTTATTTTTTAGTTGTAGTTGGACACAATATCTTCATTTATTTTTATGTGGTGCTGAGGATCAAACCCTCTGCCTCACCTATTCGAGGCAGGCGCTCTACCAATGAATGAGCTATAGCCGCAGCCCTGTTCATTAACTCTTAACCCACATTTTGTGTAATTGAATTTTGGGGCTTTTTAAGCCAGAATGTGATTTTACACATAAATTTAAGTATGTACCCATATATAAATAAATTAGAAAACGTAAGGAGTTAGTCATTATATGTTTACTTATTTTAGAATGTCCCATAAAATGAAATACAAGTTACAGAAAATATGCATGAAGTATACCATTTCAGTAATAACAAGCAAAACCTTAACCATAAATGCACACTTAAATAACTTGAAGTGAAACAGAAAACTGTTAAAACTATTCACAAAGCCACTGGCACATGTTACATAAAGGGGCAGAGTACTATCACTGCCTTTATAACTCTCTGCCTTATATTTCTTAATTGTATAATAAGCCAAAAAGTAATGCTTTTAAAATCTGAATATATTAAGTAATGAAAACAGAGACAATTCATAATCAATAAAATAAAATAAAGTGGGTAATACTGTCTACCTCATAGGATCTGCTGTAAAGATTAAATGAGATAATTTATATAAAGTGCTTAGCATATTCCCCAATATGTAAATGCTTAAAAAATGATAGCTATTTTTTATTTAAAAAAAAAAAGACTACAAAGAACATTAGAAACGATGAAGCTGAAGAGACAAAGCCTTTGAAAATGACATTGTGTCCACAGGACACTATTCCCCATATTACTGAATCTTATCTCCGTTGACTGCAAGAATTCATATGATGGTAACCTGAACACACTCTCATTGACAGTAAAAATAAAGTTGCAAGTAGATATATAAAGCACTTACATTAAAGGAGATGGTGATCTTTTTGCCTTGAAGATTACTTTAACCACCATTCCAAGGCTAAATGCTTCTATCCTAAAACTTCAAATGAGAAATATGTGGGCTCTGGACATTAGGGGAGACTCACCAGGACAAATTCATACAGAATGGGGAGTCATTCAGTTGCCTCTCCTGAGGCCTGCCCAAGGGAAATTCCTAAACAAGAAATTTCACCCTACCTCTGAATTTCTTTGCCAGCCCACCTAGAAATCTGAGTTTGTTTATAATCTACAAACTAAATCTGGCCCATCAGTACTATTCTTATTGTCCAGTGAAATTTACACACGTGTTATTAGTCTTATTACTCACATGGAATTGACCTTGTCTTCAGGACCTTGTACTTGGCCTGTCACGGTGCCTTTGCTGGTATTCTTCACCCAGCCAACCACTCCTATTTTCTTAGCTTCATCTTCTGTGTACTGGTTTCAGGAGAAAACAAAAGAGATGAAGTCAATCACGAAAAGTCTGAATTCATAAAATATTTTATTCCAATATTCAAAATGTTAACCTGATAATATTTTTATTCTAAAATATAGTCTATGCCAACGCTGGCAGAGCTGAACCAGTCACACCTCTATTTAATAGCAAGAACCTTTACTTAAATGGTATCTTCTATTAAATTCCACTTTCAGGACAACACATTACAAAAATAGAAACTAATAGTGGGAATTATTTCAGAACCAGTTTCTGTGATGTGTTTGGGGATCTATAAAATTCAGCCACATTGCCCGCAGGCCTGTGGACACTAAAATTGCATTGTCAATCTGATGCATTGTCATCAATCCAAGATTCTGAATCACTGACAAGAAACATCCTGTTATGATCAACATTAAGCATTCAAGGGCAGGAACAAAAACTAAAACACTGCGAAATTTCCAACAAAAATGAGGGAAAATAATTTTAACAAGAAAATTAAACTATCAAGAACACTAGCCTACCCAAGCTGGTTTGCAGAATTATCGTACATTAAAAGATTCTGATGAGTTTTGATGGCTCTGGATTTACCAGAAAAATGTTATAATTGTTTATAGATAAATTTCTCTTTCCTATGATTCATATATATATAGTTGTGAATGGACCTTTAGTTTTATTAATTTGTATGCGGTGCTGAGAATCGAACCCAGTGCCTCACACGTGCTAGAGAAGTGTTCTACCACTCAGCCACAACCCTAGCACCCCTACCCCCCGTGATTCTTAATAGTTTCTTTAAATTCTTTTCCCAGTTTCAAATTCAGTTATTCTACTAAAAATGAAAAAAAAAAACAAGAAACATTTTGATTTTGAATTATTTTAACCACATTATTCTAAAAATTCTTGTGGATCCAGCCAACCTGAAGTTTTCAAAACTATGCTCTTCACCTGCTTGGAGGCTAGGGTGGTTAAGATCTATACTCCACAGACCCAGCAAGATGAAGCAACATAAACCAAAATCATTTTATTAATTTTTAATTATTTTTATTTTACTTTTTACTATTTTCTACCAATTTTTGCTCAGATGGGTATAGGAATTGGCTCAGAATATAATTCAAGATAATTATGAAAATAGAGACAATCTGAGTTGTGGAGGATGGAGCTATCTCAATATATAGAGGCTTTACTGTTAAGAAAGTGTTGAAACTAACTCTCAGGGGTTGGGGACCAGAAACTTAATCAAGTGACTCCCAGCAGCAACAGTAGGTGAAAATACAAGCCACAGTTAACTTTTAGGAAAAGAGTATTTTAACAAATAAAAATTTAAAAAGAGAAAAAGGAAATATAACTGCTGAAAACCTGGGAACTGCTTTCATATTCAACATTAGCATTTTTCATTTTGCAGTGCTAGATATGCTCTCTTGCCTGGAGCATTTTTCTATCCAGAATACGTAAAAGAGCCCCTACTTTGTACTCAATATATCTGATCAGAATGTTTAATTCAAATCAACCAAGAGAGGTGCTTTTGAAATTCATAGAAAATATTAACTAATAAATAAGAAGGCTGTAATGTTTCTGACTATTTTTAAAGGACAGCTTTAATAAAACAGTAATTTCAATGAAATTCATTTACATCTTCATTTGCTGTCAAGGGCAGTAAATAAGGAGTAGGCTAGCACTATGCAGAAAATTGCACTGTCTCTGATTAAAAATAACAGGAAGCAAGTGAACAAAATAATAAAGTGTATTGACTTACCATTCTGAAGCAAACACCTGTATAAAAGAAAGATAAAAAGAAATGTCAGCATGTCTACCTTTTAAGAAAAAAACTATATTTTCTAACTTAATGTTCATCTATTTATTAGAGGGTAAGTAAAAGATAAATAAAACATTCAATATTTGAATGTATTCAAAGGGCATTGTTCAAAAGTATTCTCTTTAGCCAAACACAGTGGCCAATGCTTGTAATTTCAACAACTAGGGAGGCAGGAGGATCACAAGTTCCAGGACAGCCTGAGTAACTTAGTGAGACCATGACTTAAAATAGAAAATAAAAGGGGCTGGGGATGTAGCTCAGTAGTAAAGCACCCTAGGTTCAATTCCCAATACCAAAGTGTGTGTGTGTGTGTGTGTATATATATATATATATATATATATATACACACACACACACACGTATACACACAGATATATAAGGTGTAGGTATATAGATATATAGGTATACATGTATATATATATTTTTAAATAAAAAGAGAAGGTAAGTTTTTGGAGAAATATAATATAGTAACACTCTAAGACCAAAGTATAATGAAATTCTGAACTACATTTTGAATCTGTTGTAAAATGCTAAATAGAACAAAATGCTTATTATAAGGATAGTTGAGGATACTTAGCTTAAAATTTACCCATCCTTAGGTTTTAGAATTTCTTCTTTAAATGCAATAACTAAATTCAAGTTTAAATAAACATTTATATTTTCATTTTATTTCTGTTAGTAACTAGAACCAATGAAGCAAATATCAAGAAATGATATTCCTGACCATGACTGAGCTTCTGAAGCTTCAGTACTAATTAAATTAACTAAAATGGAAATAAGCCTTAGAATCTTTACAGTGTAGATTATATTATGTTCATATTTTAAATCATATAGGTTAGGTAAAGTTGCTGGTGCTGGTTATGTTTTCTCCACATAAACTGTGGTAGATGGGACTGTTCCATATTGATAATTACCATAGCATATTATACTTCAGTTATCCATCCTACAAAACTATGTGAGTGCCATCTTAGACATAAGTCAAGTAAGCTATGGGATTTCCTATACTAGGTTGTTTGGAACCAAACATTCATACTAGGAGAACAGGGCCCTAATTCAGGGGTAAAACAAGAGGCAAGCTGGTTCCAAATTATCAAGGATGTATGTATATAATTTGAGACCTGGTAGGAGAAAGGGAAGTCCTTCTTACATCTCTCCTGGGAATTGTAGCAATGATCCTAAACAACAGAGCTCAGGTCAGTCTTGCAAATTGCAACTTGGAAGACATTCAATCCAAAAGGATGCATAGAACTGGCTTCTCAGGAATAGATTTGCCCCACAGTTGAGATCCTACCTAAGAATTGGTTAAAATGGGTTTAAGAAGCATCAGGAATATGGCAGGTGCAGAAATACAGAGCTTGTTGAATACTATTTAGTTTTTATTCCCACCTACAGCACGTAAGAAATTTGGAAATCTTTTTCCAAATTGAAAAAAAAAGGAGTTTAAATTTAGAGGATAGAAGAGAGCATAGCAATTAAAAATATTTTTAGAATGTATAAACAACTATGGTAGATCCGCACAATGGACTACTCAGGAATCAAAAAGAAAGACCTATGGATACAAGCAACAATTTTATGAATTACATGTTGAATCAAATGCATTATGCTAAGCAAAGGAAGCCAGACTCACACATAGTGTGTAATCCCACATTCTGAAACAGGCAAAACTATAGACAGAAAACAAATTGGTGGTTGCCAACACCTAGGCATGGGGGGACAGTGCTACAAGGAAGCATGAGGAAACTTTTGGGGGGATAGAACTGTTCTTTATCTCAACTATGGTGGTTGTTACATTACTGTATGCATTGGTTAAAACTCATTGCATGTACAGCAAAAAGAATGAGTGTTACTGAATGTAAATTATACCTTGGTTGAAAAAAAAAATACATTATGAAGTCACAGGGGATAGAACAAGCTGGTCTCCAAAGAGGCCAAAAGATATTCTACACACAGCAATTGAGCCTGGTTAGGAGCATATAGAAGACTAGTAGTTTAGATATTTTTATAGTTTTGTAAGCAGATTTATAATAACTTTTCCTGATGGTAGTATATTGTAGTGCCAAATGAATATGAAGAAAATAGAGCAGCCAATCAATAAAGACAGGAGAATATCACAAATGGAATTTTTATAGGGCTATAAAAATATTTTTAAAGATACATGTAAAACTTGGAGGAAGGATGAGTAGGAAGTATTGATCTGAAGGAGAATCAGAAAGGCAATCTGCTGTACAGATGGAAGGAAAGACATTAGCTAGTAGATGATATAAAAGGAATCAGCAGAAAATTCAAGAAACTTCATGTCAACCCAGACCATATAAAAAAAGAAAGACACAACAGGAGGGAAATTCTACAGGCAATAGTCTGAAATATTTTCACTATATCAGTGAGGGGCTCTGAAACACAGTAAGATGTTGACCAATAAGTAGATTGACAGTTTGGGTCATGTTCCTCACCCATTCCTCAACAGTAAAAGTTTTGTGTATTAAAATAGCAACACCTGAAAGTTCTTATAGAAAATCAAATCTAGGACTCCTTCTCAGACCTACAGAAACAGAACTTTGTAGGTGGTATCCAGAAATATGGTTTTAACATAATTTCCAGATTATTCTTATGCACTGAAATTTAGAACCAGTAAGTGGCCCAAACTTACAGGAGATATAGGAGAGATCTGGAAAGGGTTTGTGTTCCAGGACAAGGACACATCACAAAAAGGAAAACCAAAATCTTATAGGGTACTGCACATGGGATAAATCTCCTACTGACTCTGGTCCAAGTTGTGTTGATGATAAGTCATGTACATGCATACCTGTTTTGTCTCACCTGTTTTACAAGTCAGCAACACTACATGAAAGAAACAATAGATGATGAAAAGGCAAAATCCACTCTCTAGCACCCTTCTTGGACCTGGAGTTGTAGCTGCCTAGGCAGCCTGTCTCTTAGATTGCTCCTTTCACCCTTATAACCTATTGCTAGAAATACTGGAGCTGCCCATAGAGGGAAGATGACGACACTCAACACAGTGAAGAGCAATCCTTTCAGCACATGAATCCCAAACAGCCCTTCCACCATCTATTCACTGATGAAACAAAAAAAAAGGACATTCGCTTTTTGTGAAGGGGATGTAAGAATTTTTATAAGAGGCATCAAACACAGATATTCTACAAATTATTTGTTGTCAGATTAAGGAAATTACCTAAATCGGTCTATTGACAGAATTTTTTTTTTTTACACAGACATAAGCTAGGATTCAGGCAACTCAAATATATTTAATAAGCATACAGTTAGACATTGATTATTCACTTGACAAAAATCATATTAATTGTCTAATTCTAAATGCAAGTAATGAGATGGGTATATAAGACATAGTTCCTGCATCTAGGAACTTAATCTAGTCAAGTGGGAGAGGTAGAAAAGTAAACAGGCTGAGTACGATTCCATTGTGTATATATGCCCATTTTTTTTATCCATTCATCTATTGAAGGGCATTTGGTTGGTTCCACAGTTTAGCTATTGTGAATTGTGCTGCTATAAACATTGATGTGGCTGTGTCCCTGTAGTATGCTATTTTTAAGTCGTTTGGATATAGACCGGAGGAGAGGGATAGTTGGGTCAAATGGTGGTTCCAGTCCCAATTTTCCAAGAAATCTCCATACTGCTTTCCATATCAGCTGTACCAATTTGCAGTCCCACCATCAGTGTATGAGTGTACCTTTTTCCCTACATCCTCACCAACACTTATTGTTGTTTGTATTCATAATAGCTGCCATTCTGACTGGAGTGAGATGAAATATTACAGTAGTTTTTGCAGGTAAATGGATGGAGTTAGAGAAGATAATGGTAAGTGAAGTTAGCCAACCCCCCCAAAAAAACAAATGCCAAATGTTTTCTCTGATATAAGGAGACTGATTCATAGTGGGTAGGATAGGGGAGCATGGGAGGAGTAGATGAACTCTAGATAGGGCGGGGTGGGAGGGGAAAGGAGGGGGCATGGGGTTAGAAATGATGGTGGAATGTGATGGACATTATTATCCAAAGTACATGTATGAAGACATGAATTGGTGTGAATATACTTTATATACAACCTGAGATATGAAAAATTGTGCTTTATATGTGGAATAAGAATTGTAATGCATTCCGCTGTCATATATAAATTTTTTAAAATTAATTAATAATAAAAAAGAAAAGTAAACAGGCAATTAAAATTGCTGTAGATTGCATAAACCTGGATGCAAGTGAGAGTTTACCAGACACATGATCCAATCTTGGTAAGTTTTAGAAGTGCTTGTTAAAGATTGGATCTTAACGAATGGACAAAAAAAATGTGGCATTTATACACAATGGAGTATTACTCTGCATTAAAAAATGACAAAATCATAGAATTTGCAGGGAAATGGATGGCATTAGAGCAGATTATGCTAAGTGAAGCTAGCCAATCCCTAAAAAACAAATGCCAAATGTCTTCTTTGATATAAGGAGAATAACTAAGAACAGAGTAGGGACTAAGAGCATGATAAGAAGATTAACATTAAACTGGGATGAGAGGTAGGAGGGAAAGGGAGAGAGAAGGGAAATTGCATGGAAATGGAAGGAGACCCTCAGGGTTATACAAAATTTCATACAAGAGGAAGTGAGGGGAAAGGGGAAAATAATACAAGGGGGAGAAATGAATGACAGTAGAGGGGGTAGAGAGAGAAGAGGATAGGAAAGGCAGCAGAATACAACAGACACTAGTATGGCAATATGTGAATCAATGGATGTGTAACTGATGTGATTCTGCAATTTGTATACGGGGTAAAAATGGGAGTTCATAACCCACTTGAATCAAAGTGTGAAATATGATATATCAAGAACTATGTAATGTTTTGAACAATCAACAATAAAAAAATTTAAAAAAAAAGATTGGATCTTAAAAGTTGAGACTTCAATCTTGAGAAAATATTGGTATGATGAAAGTAGAATA